GCAATATCACGATGTTCTTTAAATTGATGTCCCATTTGAATACGTTCTTTTGTACTGACATGTGGTGCCATTCGTCCAACAGCAGCACAATACCTGTTGCAAAAAAAATTTGAAATTTTGAAAAAATTAAAAAAAAAAATTAAGCAAAAAACAAATCATACCATTTATGTGCATTCATCGATTTTGGATCCAATTCTATAGCTTTTTTAGCATATTTTAATGCTTCTTCTTCCCATTTTTTTCCTTCGGATTTATTCTTTTTTTTCAATTCACAATCGGATAATGTTAAACAAATAATAACCAAACGATAACAATATTCAACATTTTTTTCACCATCATCATTAAATTGTTTCAATAAACGATTATATAATTCCATTGGATCTTTTGATGGATCGGCAACATCTTTATCATATTCTACTAAAAAATTATCAGCCATTTTATTCGTTGTTTGATGGTGTTAATGAAATATTTAACGATGATACACGTGGAAACCGAGAAGAAAATTTCCAAAAAAAAGATCACTATGAAAAACACGACAAGCAAAACAATTTAGAAAATTTGATGAGAAAATAATCTATATTTATAGACGATGATTTAAAAGAAATTAGGATCAATCGAAAATTATCAGAGAAAGTGGAAAAAAATCTCTAATCGTACCGGTGGATTATGATTCTAGGAACACAGACAAACCAACCAACCAAAAGTCACAATCAATCAATGAGAAACACAATGAGAAATTGGTAAATTTGGAAGAAAATCAAAGAAAAAATGATTCGATTTGCTTGGATGAATGAATGAATTGAATGAATGGATTTTATATGCATGTATGTATTTAAGTATGTTGTGTAACTGCTGTGTATATTTTCATTTGGCCAACGCCTGCAACAACTTTTCAAACAATGTTGGTTGATAATTTTATAAAGAGAAACAGATACACTTTTTTTTTGATCAACAACTGCTTTTAGAATACAGTTTGTTGTTGTTGTTGNTGTCTGTGTACGGATAAAAAAGATAACGACGAGAGTGTTGTATCTTTTCTTTTTTTTTTGTTTTTGAATAATTTTTTTTCCACAGAAATACTGCTTTTCTATCAGGATACACCACTACTTGTGTATTGGATGATAAAATCATCATCATCATTTTTTTTTTTTTTTTGATAAGAATGTAATGACGAGAAGAAGAAAAAAAATATAAGAAATCTATTGAATTGATTTGATTGATTACATTGATTGATTGTGTGATTGATTGGTTGTTCTGGTTAGTTGTTTGATTGGTTGTTTGATTGATTGATTGATTGATTTGCTAATCAATTTGGATTTTGTCGTTTGATTGTACTCAATATACATGTATCCAGATACAGTGGTACCTCGGTTAACGACGATGATCGGTTCCTGAAAAACCGTCGTTAACCGAAATGTTCGTTAACCGAAATACAATGCAATACTTGTTTTTTAATCATCGTTAACCGAAAAAAATCGTCGTTAACGGTCTCCTGACCGAAATCGTTAACCGAAAATTTCGTTAACCGAGGTGTTCGTTAACCGAGGTACCACTGTACAATTATTTTTAAAACATTTTTTTTTTCTCCACGCCTCGGTTTTTTTCCTCGGTTCGGTTCGTTAGATTTGTGATGAAATTTAAATTAGTAGATTATGGTAATGGGAATTACATCATCATCATTATAATCATCATTATAGAACGTACCAAACATAGTGATCAAGGTTAGATTCAATAGACCGGAGATATGAATCGTTTAATATGTTTAGAAACATAAAAAAAAGGAATTGCACACAAACACACATTGTGTTTTGACTGTTGATTGACAATAATTTTGACAGAAAAAAAAACATTGACAAAACTTTTCAAACGGATAACATAAATGAACAGAAAAAAAAGGAAAAGAAATTGATAATTTCACAAACCAGATTCAGTAATGTAACTCAGTAATTTTTTCAACAACCGATTTCACCAAAGTAATAATGCCAATTGTGTTTAAACAGGTGAATGAACAACAACAACAAACGAAAGTAAATCACTTTGATTGAAACAAAAAACAGATTTAAATCAGGTCAAATGTGAAATTGGATTGAAGAATCAGAAAAAGAAAGCCATATGGCAGAGAAAGAGAAATTCGATGAAAAGTTGCAACAACAACAACAACAGAAAACATTCGAAAGAGAGAAAAAAAAACATTCGAAATTTTGACGTTCGAATACATTCGAACGTCAAAAAAATGAGAAAATTTCTTTTCTGGAAAACTTTCTTTTCTTTGAATTTGAAAAGTTCATTGTATCATTGTTGATGATGATCAGTCTTGATGAAAACCTTGAACGAAACAAAAAAAAAGTAATCATATATAAGTATGTCCAAATGGAACGATTAATTTTCATCATGATCATCAAAGATCATCAAGATAAATGATCAAGACTGTAGGTGTGTGAGTGTGTTTGCATTTTCACTTTCTCTCTCACTCTCTCTCTCTCTCTCTCCCACTCTCTCTCTCTCTATCTCTTTTCTCAAACAACAACAAATATGATGACCATATAATCTTTTTTTTTGCGTTTCTTTCGAATGTATCTTTCAATCATCGATCAACAAAACAAACACAAAGATCTCTTTCATATTTCCAGAAAAAAATGGAATGAAAGAAAAAAATCTAATTTGATTGATTGATTTGGTCATTGAAAGATTTGTTTGTTTGTTTGTTTGTTTGTTTCAATCCTTTTGTTTCTCGATGAGGAATCCATAATATGATTCGGTCAGTTTTTTTTGGGGGCGAAAAAGTCGTCATTAAAAAAGTTTGTTTTTTTTTGGTAAATTTAATTGTTCAATGGAAGGAAAAAAAGCCTGAAGCTTTGAAAAATATCAACAACAACAACAACAAAAGTAATGATTTTTGGAAAATGTTATTTCATTTTTTTTGTCAATTTGATTGAATCAAAAATCAAAAATCAAATCACAAACCAATCTGTTTTTTTGGAAGATGAAACAGAAAAGTTTTCAATTTTCTTTCGTTTTTTTTTTGTTTCCTTTCGCACTAAAATTATTCAATTAAACTTTTTTTTTGTTGAACTAAAAGTTTTTTTGGTTCCCGAGAAAAATTTATTTATAAATTGTTCAACGGGGGGAAGAAA